CAGTTAGTTGAGAATTTAAGATATTAGTAAGTGATAATAATTTGAGTTTTGGACTATGGAAAGAAGGTTAATACAAGTTGTTTACTTCAATTTGTTAAAAGGATTTCCTTGTGGCGCTAAAACCATGAAGGTCCTCACACACAAGTACCTAATTAAGGGTTCATACAAAAAATTATGCCATTTAAACAAATAAAAAATGAGTAATGATAGAGAAGATGAAAAATTTTAAACTAATGATTTGATATAAATTAAATATATTATTAAATTCATTAATATATATAATATTATGAGTTTTAAAAAAATATAAAATTAATTATTAAATAAATATTAAATTCACTTTTTAATATTTTAAATGAAAAAGCTTATATCATGTTATTAAACTTAAATTTTGATCTCAAATTTTAATTTTATTTATCATTATTCATAAAATTAATCTCAAATTTTGATCTTATTTATCATTATTAATAAAATATATCAATCCAAACAATTATAATATTGAATGTAACACTATAAACGGGTTCGCATTTTCATTTAAAAGCTTTGACTTGTGATGGGGTGAACTTTGAACCCGAAAGATACTTTCTAGGTTTTCAGATAGCGACAAGACTTTTTAGTTTTTCCCTTAAATCTGCCTTAACTAGCCTTGTTTAATACCTGCCCCAGTCATGGAATCAAGGGCTTAATTAGTAAAAAAAAAACTTCTCTAATTAAAATGTAAGAAGAGACTAGATTGAGGGGTGAACTTAGAAATAGAAAAAACCTTTGTCCGTTCAATATTCGCTTCTTAATGCTTTCCCGACAGTTTCCACTACACTTTTAAGAGAAACAACTTTTCAGTTTTCACATTCCCTCTTTCTCTTGTCTTCTTCCCATTCTCCTTTTTCTCTTTCTTTCTGTTCATTGAAAGATAGCTAGAAAAACCATAGCCAAAGCCAAAAGCGAACTCTCTTTCTCCCGAGATCTGCTCCCTTTCTCTCGTCGCGTAGATCCTCAGCTTATCTGATTTAGTCATACCCCCCAACATCATATCCTGTACGAATCACTGCTCCGATTCTGTGAAACGGAAAACAGAGCACGGTTTGATCTGTAGATACTGAGTTGTGTCAAGTAGCAGTATGGAGGCTATAAAGAAGCAAGCTACTAAGCTTAGAGAGCAAGTGGCCAAGCAACAGCAAGTGGGTTTCCCTTCTTTTGATCGTTTAATGTTTCTATTTCAGTTTTCTTTGAATAATGTATTTCTATAATAGTTATTTCTATAATAATGTATTCTTTTGGTGCCCAATTGCTTAAAAGTGGTATCTTGGGATTGTTGATCAAGCAAACAACTTATCTGGTGGAAGATGTGTATGGGATTTGAAAGAAATTGACATTTGTTTGTACAAAGAGTGAAGTTGGGATAATCTAAAGTTCCATGTTATTGTAAAGTATAAAAATTTATTAGAAAAATAATTGCTTGCTTTTTTTTTTTTTTTGGAGGGGGGTAATTTTATGGTGGGGATTTTAAAACCATAGGAATGTTAGGATTCTGAAGCAAACGTCTATTTTTGAAGCTAACACGTTTTCAAACCTTCTTTCTGGAGTGGGAGGAATGAGGATGAATTGGACAATTTGTGCTAATGTGAAACCCAAGTATTATGAAATTGAAGCAACTCCAAATCAAATTGATGCAATTTGTCCAAATTCTTTGCTTTTGGAATTTGGTTCCTGCCCATGGGCTTTTTTAATCCAAAATTTGATAATAAATGAAAAAAATGCCTTTTCACCCTGTCCACTTGTGCCCTTCCTTCTTTATGCATGAGTGCTGAAATTTGTTATTCTTCATTGCCAGAGCTTTAAATGTTTATTACCATGCAGGCTGTGCTAAGGCATTTAGGGCATTTTGGTAATGAAGATGTTGTAGTTGATGAAAGTGAAGTTCAGTGTCACCAACAGCTTCAGGATCTATACACGTCTACAAGGGCAGCTAAGGTACTTTCATCAGCCATTTTGTCAACTAATTCAGGGGCTATGAAGTGGCATATCCACTTATACAATTAATCATATTATGTTCACAGCATTTGCAAAGGAATATAGTCCGTGGTATAGAAGCTTTTATTGCTACAAGTTCAAAGCTGATGGAGATTGGTGAGTATGATTTGATATTATATTTAGCAGTTTTGTTCCTCCCAAGGCTTGTGTGTGGTGGTGATCAACCTTAACATTTTAGTTAAGAAACTGGGTGATGATTGTTGCAAATATGGAACTGAGAATCAAAATAGTAGTTCTACTCTTGCAAGAGCTGCTCTTCTCCTTGGCACCTCACTTAAATCAGTGGAGGATGAGAGAGGGACTTTGCATGGGGTACTTGGTGAGCAGGTAATTTTTTCTCTTTATTGCCTGAGTATATAGTTTTAGGATATTGAAACAAATTCAAAAAAAAGTTTGCATGTTGCTTCTTTCATTTAGGTGGAAAAAGAGTGGAGATTTGTGAATTATTTTGCAAATCTTCTTACAATATTTATTGAATGATCAATAATATGACCAAGAAACTCCTAATACAAGTCCAATTATATGTACAATGCCCATATTATCAATTTACTAAGAAACCCTGTTGAGAATCTTAATATAATTTCTATCACTATCAATGAATCCAGCGATTTAAGGTTTAGCCCTCCCTTTCCTTTTGCATTTCTAATTGTGTTACATGTTTCAAGTGTGTAGGTTTCTGAGCCGCTACGGACATTAGTAAATGGTGCTCCTTTGGAGGATGCTCGCCAATTGGCTCACCGCTATGACAAACTGCGCCAAGAGGTTGAAGCTCAGGTATGTATAAATATATTTAAGGGTTGGACAGTTAGGCTTGACCATCTTCTGGTTGTGGTAAACATGGAACAGCTATATTTATGTTTCAGACAACCATCTAAACTAGATGGGCATTACTGTTTTGACATTATTGTATTTTATTTAATCCTTTCAATCTTCAATAGATAATTTTTTTCTTCTCTTAAGAAAATAGCCAGTAGTTAGTCTGCCAGCTTGAAATAAAGGTTTAAGTATCCTTTACTATGTTAATGAATTAAACTTGTTGTGTGACAACTTTCAAGCATGTATCCTACCAAAATATCTCCATGTCTTTCATACTCTCTTTTACTTTACTCCTGATTGTACATTGAACTGTGGCAATTTTTTTTAATATATATATGTAAACAGGCAGCTGATATTTTGAGGCGCAGATCAAAGACTAAGGAGTCTGAAATTTCTGCAGAAAGTTACATGAAGCTTAAAAATGCAGAAGCAAGACTGACTGAACTTAAATCTTCAATGATGGCATTGGGGAAAGAAGCAACTGCTGCTATGTTGTCTGTTCAGGATCAGCAGCAAAATACGACTTTTCAGCGGCTTTTGGCAATGGTATTTGTAGTTTGCTCATAAATTCATTTTCTGTATGCATCCAAAAGCATGCATTGATTCCCATCTGAAATTCAACTAATTTTGCTCAGTTATCTGCTGTCACAAAGATGATTATATCAGAATTTCAAGTTAATGATTTTCAAGTGATGATGCCAATTTTGTTTAGTAGAACTCTTACTTATGGACATGCCAAATATTGAAATTTGCTTTACTGTATTATAATGATCATCAACCCCTTCTCGCCTCCCCCAAGAGAAACCTTGTAATCTCTACTGCTTGGGCATCACATGGAGTTGTTTTGCAGGTTGATGCTGAAAAATCGTATCATCGGCGTGCTCTTGATATTTTAGAGAAGCTGCATGCTGAGGTTTGTATCAATTCACTTTGGATCTGATTTTCTTTAGTTCTCCAGTGGATGCTTTAACAATTCCTGTAGTTAATCATCCTTGTAAATAAGTTGCTTGATGGGTGCCATTAAGACTGCATTTTTATTTTTCCCTTCTTACTTTATTCTGTGGAAAGATTATGATCTAAATTTTTGTTACTGGATAGATGGTTCAGGAGGAGCAATCTAATGAGTCCTTAGTGCAATCAATGACGATGCAAAGAGAGATGAATGTTCATCCTGCACGTCATGTTACTTATTCAAATGGATCAGATGTTTCCAAAGACAATCACAATAAAACATATTTCATTGCAAAAGTATGGCCTCTGACCCTTTATCAATCTAATTCAATAAGGGATAAGAAAAAGAGGGGAAGAATCTCTGCATTTGCATTATGGCATGTGTGCTTTGCTCTCACTGGGAAGACTTAAAGAGAGTATCTAACCATATTGATGGATGTAATTTTATTTTGTTCAGCATGTATAATTGTGGTGCCTTAAATGCAGGTTGTACACCCCTTCGATGCTCAAGCTGATGGAGAGTTAAGTTTAGCTGTTGATGATTATGTTGTGGTTCGACAGGTGCACTTTCCTTGCCTAATATTGATACAATTGGTATTTTGGACAATAACCTTGCTATCTTTTTCCCAAAATGCAGTTAGTGTAATCATATTTCTACTTTTATTTTGAAACCGGGTAAATGCATGTGGGAGTAGAAGAATCAGGTTTATGTCTGCAAACCATATATCCTGATTTTCTTGTTATTCAACATCACAAGGTTGGTCCTAGTGGATGGTCTGAAGGAGAATCCAAAGGCAAGGCAGGATGGTTTCCCTCTGCATATGTTGAAAGACAGGAGAAAGCCCCAGCAAGCAAGATAATGGAACCAGATGCTTCTCCTTGATTTATCTTCAGTGACAAGTATATATTGCCATGTATGTATTTTTTTTTTTTTTTCCTTTTTTGTGTTCAGTTGTGCAGTTGAGAGTCATATATTTTCCTTTTGTGAAAAGGAGTTAGGCTTTGCTAGTCAAGTTGCTGGTTATCTCGTGTAACCTAAGGGGACCATCCTCCTTAGTAGAGTGTTATTTTCTTTCCTCCAATAAAGCTGTGTGTTTAATTTGCCATTAGGTGGGAATTGGTGTCATATTAATGCCCCAAAACTAATGTATTTGCAGTAGACCTGGCAAACGGGCGGGTTGGGTCGGGTTAGGGTCGGATCAACTCGGGTGACGGGTTAGACGAGTTGGGTTATAAACGGGTTGCGGGTTGGAAACATCCAACCCTAACCCGACCCTA